TGTTCCACGGACTTTCTGTTTCACCTAATAAATAAAGTAACCTTAATTATTATAAATATATTAAAACATAGTAACCGTACATTTTGTCTATGAGTGTGAGTGCAGCGCCTCCTATGGTGTGGACTCCATCACTGTTTGCGTCAGACTTTCCGACATAAGCCGATATACGCGATGAACATATAAACCAAAGCCCAGGCCATGAGTGCAAACCGACACCACATGAGCGCCGACTCATCGAAACCCTGGGATTCAATCACTTCTAGTCCGGAGGTATAAGTGGTCGATTGTGTGGTGTTTGTTGTCGGGGTGGTCGACATGTTTCCCACATTTCGGAACTCGTTTATCACTAATGATTGAAATCCGTAATATAAAAATGATAAATACGGGGCCCAATTCAACCACCCGGGTAGTGTACTGACAATTTATAAAATTAAAATATTATAATTAAATATTTATGGTCCTAGTTGAAACACCTGACGGTAATAAAATAGCCACATAATACACTAAACACTGTCTCAAGCACTGGAACAATAGTCATAACAGTACCAATGTCCTTAAATAGACATGATAGTAGCATTCCTATTTTAATACAAAAATATATTAATTTGATTTAAAATTGTTTTAAAAAGTATCATATTGACTATTTATCATTAATATGTTTGTAATTATATTATGTCTTAGTTGGGACCATCGAGGGATGAACCTGTCTTGTGCGTTAATGATTGTCGAGAATAGTTAGCCAGTAACATAATTAACATTTTGAATTGACTAAACTTGGCGAATCAATTTAATTAGCTTGCTAAATTTACGTTAAACTATCGTTGTTATCCTCATTTTCTCATTGAAATAACATAAGTTTTATGGACTGTACATAAGTTGAATTGATTGTGCAATTGTTTGACACTGCTTTGTGCCATCAAATAAGATAATTTTAGCAATAATTACTGATATATGAACACAAAATAATAGTATAACATTGTATACAATTAAATCGAATGTTATATCAATGACAAAATGAGGATGTCAGCGATAGTTTAACGTAAATTTAGCAAGCTAATTAACTTGATTCGCCAAGTTTAGTCAATTTAAAATGTTAATTGTGTTACTGGCTAATTATTCTCGACAATCATAGCCACACAAGACAGGTTCGTCCCTCGATGGTCCTTGATGTCCAATGAAAATAGTTCTCAACCCTAGGGAACGTGCTCATATAGCTTCAATTAAAACACTTTCTTAATCCATATTTATACATTTAAGTGCAAGCAATGATTTATATATATATATATAATAATATATATATATTATTGTTATTTTAAAATCATTTTTCACAAATAAATAATTACCAAAATTTGTGCTGGATGCCATTAATAGCAGTGAAACACCAAGGAATATAAAAAAGTCTAACGGGCTCAGATAGAGACCAAAAGTGAAATACATAATCACTAAATATATTACATTTATTTCGGTCAACTGTTTAATAAATAAAGAATTTGAATTAGCATTATAATATATTTTTGTGTATTAATGCATAAATAATATTCTATGATAGTTACATTAATATTACCTTGTTAAAATCTAGTTTAATTGAAAATTTTATTAGACTCATAGTCAAAATTTCTAGTTAATTTTTATTAATAGTAGCTAGCCAAAATCAGATATTAATGTCTTATATACTGCACCAACCTGGATAATAATGGTCGACAAAAAATATGGTAACACAGCGTACGTACGGTTGTGGTGCTCCCTAAACATAAGTGGCTGCTCATCCACTAATGTCTTATAATATATAAATATAAAGAAACTATATGTGTTAAATTACCTAGGACGGCGTTCACAAAGTTCGTAAGCAAATTTAATGCAAAAATGACCACAACACGCCCATTGTACCTATTAATTTAACATGGTGGCACACACACGCATTTGCGTGATCCCACTCTCAACGTGCGCACGTACGTTGTGAACGCCGCATAATATTTAAATAATTACCGTTAAAGCATAATATATGGGTGGAAAAGACGTGGACTGGATAAGCGAAATAAGTGCTCCCATGATATTACTCGCATCGGAGTAGGCGTGTCCAATATTGTAAAAAATAATACCCATACAGAATGCAGTGATCTGGTGGCATAACCACTGGAAATTAATGTTCAAAACTTTATAATGCTAATATTTACCAAATACATAACGAATCGGTCTAGTAGCAATTGGGGATTACGGATTAGGGTTATATACGAGCGCCACAATATTGTCACAAATTGTCGCCAATAGGTTGCTTTATAGCCCGTCCCCAGAATCGGTATATTTATTGTAGGCGTTCCTCGAGTGTTGTTTTCATTCGTATTGATAGTGATATCAGAATAACTCAATTCGAGATAATTGTCGCAAATTTGCTGTATTTTTAAATACTTTCAATAAATTAATGGTTTAAAAGACATGAAAATACGAGAAAAATTACATTAACTTTGCGTTTGGTTTGCGAATAATTAGTGTGTGTTATGGCTGTTGTGGGCGTCAAATAAATGTAAAAACTAACTCCTATTCAGGTATTCACAAATATAAGTCTTACCCAGTTGCTTTACATAATAATCGCACGGATTGTAGCTTTTTGGACAAAACTGTTTTTGAAAAAATAAAATAAGTTTTAAATTTGTTTACAAATGTATTTCAAGTCTTACTAATCCTTGCGTTGAAAAGAAATTCTTGGCGTCACCTAAATATGTAATTCATTTAGAAATTATAATTATGTTATTATAGCAATAAATTTATATTTGCAGTACCGATGGACCCCTTGAAAGCTACCCTTCCGTCTGCCATAAGTAATAGACTGTCGAAGAGTTCAAACACTTGAGACGAGGGCTGATGTATAGTACAGATGACAGTCCGTCCCTCCGATGTCATAGTCTTTAGCACTTGTACTATATTTTTGGCCATAAATGCGTCCAAACCAGTGGTCGGCTCATCGCTAATACATTCAAACATATTATTATTTATATCATAAGATAATTACATTTGAGATGTATTTCTGACCAAAACATTAGGGAAGGGTTTGTGAGGACTTCTGAAGCAATGGACAGTCTTTTCATTTCTCCGCCGGAAATGCCTTTAAAATGATTGTTGTCTCCAAACCTTGTTTCCGCACATTTCGCTAAATTAAAGTAAACATTGAAATTAATTTATAAAAATAATTACTGAATATCCGTATAATTTATATAAACCTTTTCTATAATCCGTTGAATGCAATCTTGTCTCTCATTTGTATTTAAATTTCTATCCATTCGTAACAATACCTTAAAAATAAAATATTTGTCACAATATTCTGTTTATAATAAATATATTGTATTTTCAAATTAAATGATAAATACCTGAAACATGAGGTGCTCTCTGACTGTAAGCATGGGTTGAAACAAATCGTGTTGTTGTATATACGAGGACATGGATGCAATGGTCTGTTGGCTGACTGTCTGCCCATTCATGAGTACCACTCCATTGACGGACAGTTGCCGTAAATTTCTTGCCGTTAATACATTCAATAGAGTAATCTTTCCGGCGCCACTGAATGGCACAACAAATTCAAAATGTTTTTTAAAATAAATAATTAGTGATAAATAAAACAAATCAAAACTCTAGTCGTAATCATTGTCCACATAAAAATTATCATACAGGTATATTAAACTTAACATGCTGTAATAAATATACTGTATACGTATTGTGTTTTGTAATGTGTACCTGGCGCCCATAATTGCCAATAGACTTCCAGAGTTAACTGAACCAGACACTAGTAATAAATTATTTTGTTATACTGTGCTAGTATAAATAATATTTTTACAAAATATAAGCTATAATACCGTTACGAATGATCTCTTTCGACATTTTCTTAGTTTGAAAGCAATTATAAATAGATTTCTGTGTTTTAGTCGACACCCGGATATTAGTCCACGAAATACGCACCGAATGTATGGTCTCTCCCGGACTCTCATTCCTATTGTCGGCATTTATTTCAGACATTTTTATTGTATTAAATTATTAATGAAACTTAAATAAATAAGTAAGATTTTTAATATGTAATTGTATTTTAATAATGTCGAAAATACTGTTTAGATAATGACTATTATTCAATAAATTCTGACTAATTATTTCAGTATAATATTAGTTAAAAACAACTTATTTGTTAATAAATTGAGCAATAATAATAAACAATATCTGAAATAGAAAAAAAAACACTAAACTTTATACAACAATCTTAATACCGTCCTAGAGCAAAGGTTATATGTAAAAGTTAAGCAAATTTTATCCATATCATTTATAAGTCTGGCTCATTTAATTTTAATAATCATTTATAGCCCACTTTGTAGCGCATAGATGTGATTAAAAAATACACCTACTCGGTGTGACCTACTAAAAATTAGGTTAAATATTTTATAAAATTTACATCAAAACAAAATTCCATGTTATTGGTGAGTTAGCTAAATTTACACAACATAATATATACATAATATTATATTACTTCTATTCATATGTCATATAAGTAGTAATTAATAAAATTTTATTTTACAAATAATTTATTATTATTCAAAAAGTTATGTCTTTTACGCGAGACTTTGCGGGCAAAGTAGTGCTGATCACCGGCTCGAGCGGTGGAATGGGCGCCCAAACTGCCATTGAATTCGTCTGAAACGGCGCGCAAGTGGTGGTCACCGGTCGGGACGCACAGCGGGTGTCAGATGTGGCAAACAGTGTCGGGAAGTGTCGCCAAAAGGTTTGAAAGCGTTGGAAGTGTTGGCGGATATGAGTGTCTCAGAGGACTGTCGGCGACTCATTGCCACCACAACCGACACATTCACGCGACGTATTGGTGATCAACGCATGGAGGGGTAAATATGCCAAGTATGTGACCCGGATGTTATGGTTAAGTACGACGATATTATGGACACATACCTGCGCTCAGCTGTACTGTTGACTTACTTATGTGTCCCACATGTGACCAAAACTGGCGGTAATATCATCAACATATGCCCCCATCTATCATGAAACCGGTATTTATATGAATTGTTTTATTTAATATCATACTGATTATTAAAGATTTTTTTGCTAGTATAAATTACAAGTTTACATAATTGTATTATACAACATGATAAGCAATTGCATGTATTCAGTATGTGTTGTACAGTATGTATGGCTTTATGTGTTTTTTGATAAACTGACCGCTCATTTCCATACTATATGTCAAAGTGTGCGTTAGATATGATGACTAAATGCTTGGCACTAGAGTTAGCTTCCAATGGCGTCCGAGTGAATACACTCCTGTAAATGAGTTTTAAAATAATATTTTTAAACACTTATATTTAAACACTATTATATTGTTAACCGCGATTCCGGAAGGAAAAAATCCCGATATATAGAATCGCCCCGCCTACCTCCCCCCTCCCCCTCCCTCGCTTCATCATTAATGACGCTGATGACGGTCAGATTGCAAATCCCATAGACTTAACATTGGTTTTTGGTCGTAAAAAGCAATAAGGACTTTGTCTTTCTGTTGGAAAATCCCAGCAAAAGTGAGCAAAAGTGTTTCCGATGACGTAATGACGCTGTGTCTTTTAGCCCATGTTAAACCTATGGGAAAATTATGGATAATGATAGTGCATGACGGGTGTGTCAAATAATGTCGGTTGCGGAACAAAAAATCCCATAGCGTTAAGCGACAAAAGGAGATTGAGGGACATGTGGTCGAAAAAGTACGACCAAAGTGCATAAAACCCCATGTTAAGTCTATGGGATTTTGAAAAATGGTGCAATAGTGCATATTATGTGCACATATTTGACAGTAAATTAGCTAAATTTCCCCTTGTTAAGTCTATGGTGAAATTAATTAAAATGAGATTTAATCCTATGGGCCCAATGGTAATCCTATGGGAAAATTATCTTAAAGGCCCCAATATTCCATGCTAACTCTATGGGAAAATTGTATTTAATGCTCTCAATATTCAATGTTAATCCTATGGGAAAATTGGCTACAAAGTATCAAATATCCCATGTAAATTCAATGGGAAAATTGATTCAAATGGCCCAAAAATCCAATCCTAATCTTATGGGATAATTGGTTCAAATGGCCCCAAAATCCAATTGGGAAATTGCTTACAATGTGCCCTATAGCCCATATTAAGCCTATGTTAAAATAAACCCGATATTCAATGTTAAGCCTATGGGTAATAATTGATTAAAATATACCTGATAGATCATGTTGAGCCTATGGCAAGGACATTCAGTTTCACAACAATGGTTTGAAAATTTTCAGAATTTCTTTAAAATGCTAAAATAACTTAAAAGTTCTGAATATCCCAGTAAACCCCATGCTAGGCCTATCGCATGGATATAGTTTCACAACAATGGTGTGATAGTTTTCAAAATTTCTTGAACATCCTAAAAGTGGTGAATATCCCCCTATACCACATATTAAGCCTTTCTTGCTATCTTCTATCATGCCCTCCCCTATCTTGCACCCTCCTTTCAAGCATTTTCATTTCTTATTTTCATTTCAATCCTTTTCCTTTCCACTATTGTATTATTTTCACCATTTCAATAACATTTTTAAATTAATGATTAGACTAGAATCGCGGTTAGGCATCGAATTGTCTGTTAAACCTTGTTTTAAAATACTAAATTATTTTTAAACCAATATATTGTTAAGTGAACTCTAACCTCGGACAACATTTCAAGAAATTTTGAAAACTATCACACCATTGTTGTGAAACTATATCCATGCGATAGGCCTAGCATGGGGTTTACTGGGATATTCAG